AGAAAATGTGGTTATGCGGTAATGATGGAAAGAGAGATGATGTCGAAGAGAATAAAAATTAAATTTGGATAGAGTTTAAAAATTCATCTTTATTAAATTCATCTCTTCCAATCAATTTATTTATTCTATTAAATTCTTTTATTTTTGCTTCACTCAGTTTAAGGATTGAACGATAAGTTTCTAATTTTTCGATTATTTCTTTCCTCTCTTTATCGTTTTCAACCCCACCACATTGTGGCTTCTTTTTGTAATAACATATTTTTGATTTAATTCTGTTTAGTTTCTTTTTATATTCATCGTCTGGACTCTTGACTGCTTCGTTGTTACTCATTTTCTTACGAAATAAAAAAATTAAATATTATTTAAATATAATGGAGTAATAAAATAAATCGGAATTTCTATTAATGTATTGTTAACCTCAACTAATGCATTGCCGTTAATATATCTAACAAATTCAGCTATTGTGTCAAATCTTCGTCTTCTTTTTGTCATTGATTTATCAGTTTTTCCATAATCGAGATGAATCAAAACTTTATCCCCCTGTTTAAAATTCATGAGCCCCGAATTAATTTGTTCACGTTTAACATCATTTAACCTTTCCATTTGCTTTCTAATATATTCCCATTCTTTTGAAATATCATTTTTCATTTCCACTGGTTTCATGTTTATAGTTCTATGCCATGTATTATTGTAATAATATACTAACTGCTGTATGATGGAGTCATGATTTCCATCCCAGTATATCTGACCGTTAACCCCTAACGCATCTCTAAGAGTTCTCATTACCGCATCAACTATTTTATTATGAAACGTATATGGAGAGGATGAAAAGTAAAAATTAATTTGTGGGAAATAATGAATCATAGCTGCCTGAAATCCTTTATCACCATCACCCCTTATATTATCTACTCTTTCATGATCTAGTAAGTATTGTATAGCTCTTCTTGTTTCCTGTTCTGTTTTCCCTTTCACTGGAATGCAATATAAATATCTAGTGTTAATGTTAATGGCAAATAAATAAGTAACGTTTCCTCTTGAATATTCTAAATGATCGATTTCGTATGAATATGGATATGGTGCAAATGAAGGGCGACTAAATTTTTCCTTTAACGGTTGAATTTTTGGGTCAGTTGGTTTATTTAATATTTTGAAATCCTTTTTAAAATCTTTTTGCTTCTTTAATGTTTGAAATGGATATAATAAAGTGAATGATGAAGGATTAACTGAAGGAGGAGGTACTGTCGTTGGAGGTTTTGGTATTGCAAGTGGTTTAATTTTATCTGCTTTGATTTTGGATGATGAAGTTTTAGTTGTTGATTTTCCTTTCATTAATTCTGGATGTATTCTATTCATTTGTTTTAAATATGCTGTATATAAAGGTTTGATATACTTTCCCGCTTCGAGTTTATGTTGAAGGATGAATTCCAAAAGTTGATCTTCATTTAAAAGTCGGGCTGAATATGGTTTAACTAATGAATCATAAATTAAAGCTTGTGCTTCATTTATGGTCTGAAGGACCTGGGCGTTTTGCACCTTTAGCTGTTGAACATTTGCTACTTTCTCTTTTGGTGTTGTTTTCGGCTTTTTCTTCTTTTGTTTTTGTTCCTTTGGCTTTTGCGGCTCAGGATTATATAATTTATATAATTTATATAATTCATCAATATCTTCTTCTGTTAATACTTTATTTTTGAAATCTTTCAATTGTTTAAGTTGTGATTTACTTTTTCCCTTTGAATATTCATTATTTTTAATTTTGTCTTTAATTTTAGAAATTATTTTATCATGATATTTCAAAATTTCATTTTTATAATATGGATAATAATAATCCATATCATCGCCCGTTATATTGTTATCATATTTTTGGAGATATGCTTTTAAATCATAATAATCAAGAAAATTTTGATTAAATACTAAATCATCAATTAAATTTTCTAAATCTGCGTTATCCATTTATATAAAAATAAAATAAATGTTTTAAGGGTGTCCACCTCTTTGAATCATAGTATCAAAACCATTATTTACATATTGAATCGCATCATTAACGGTTCCTCCTTCTAAAACGGTATCAAATGGTGGAGTCCAGATTTCCTGATGATGATCATAAAATCCAGCAAAATTAACCGTATTATTAGGTAAAATATGAATCTCAGCGGTATATCTTCTATCTAAATTTGGATGCCTTATATGTATACCATTACTGCCGGATAAAATCTCAAACCTTGATTTTGTTGACGCATCAAATTATTGAAATTTCTTTCTTCAGGGGTGAATGTTCTTCTCCGTTGACGTTGTGGTGGTGGTGGTGGTCGTTGTTGCGGCTGTTGATGCTGTGGTGGGATTTGAAAAATTCGTTGTGGTTGATTATTTGGAATCTGAAAGTTAAAACCATTTGGTATAAATCGATTTGGTTCCTTTTGTCTCTTCTGTGGCATTTTATTAAAAATAAAATTTTAAATTGTATTAAATAAATGGCATACAACATCCATTTTCACAACATACAGCCTTAGTGTGTGCTCCTGTTAATGCAGTCTTACCGATTGTTAAGCGAGTCATTGACCCGTTTTTAAGTTGTAAATTAATATTCTGACCATCAAATATCACTTTATCATTTATTATATCCAAATAATTTTTAGGTGTTAATTGTTTATTTTGTCGTAAACTAACTCCTTTCATTTTTTGTGCAATCTTTTTAAAATCACTTCCATCAATTGAACCGTTGAATGAAGTATAACACTTAGGCATAAAGCAACCATGTTATCACCTTGTTTCTCAATTGCTAAACCCAATAACTTCTTCTCATGTGCTTTTTCTTCAGCTTTATTCTTTAATTTAGGTTTAAATTTCTCATTAAAACAAAAGAAATCAAAAGGTGCGAATTTGTAAATGTTTTTATCATAAAATTTTTTATCGGTTACAATTGCTTGAAATGCTTGAGTGTTAGGAAGATTTGGGTCGCCAGCGATAGCCCAATAAGATGAATCAGTATCACCTTCAATGAAATGAAAACGATTAACATCCATGCATTTATACATAAAATCATAAATGAAAACCAAATACCAGTATTTTGCGTTATCTAAAGTGAAGAATGCCTCTTGTAAACATGTATCACATCTATAAAATCTATCTTTAAGCATCACTTGATACGTATCTTCACCTATTTCTCTTATGTTTTTAAACTTATTTGACATACATGCAACGCGTGCCTTCTGTGCATTCATTATTTTAGTCTTTGCGTAATTTTGTGTATTCATTGCATCGTAACCATATGATCCATTAAGTGAAATCTTGCAAAATAAACTTTTTCCTTTATTTCCTTCTAATTCAGCCTTTTGTCTTTCATTCATAAATTCGTTCGCAAATTCATTAAAACAAGTATTTTTCGTAAATGTTAAAATTGATTGAATGTCATCAATGATAAAATGAAATCTGTCTATTAGATACCATAGATAATAAGAAGAAAATGGTTGATATTGGTTATGTGTTGATGCTAACTGAGTTAATTTCCTCTGTTTCTGGTCAACTGGTAGATTGTTTGATTTCATGTAATTATACATAAAACCACCAATTGTTTTTTCATCTGTGATAATATCAAAGTTTCTTATTATTGGTAAAAAGTTTATGTAATCATTAATGTATTTTTCATCAATGTGACCCTTTACTTCAGCCACGAATAAAGTATTTTTCTTCTTAATTATTCCCAGTGCTTTTGCTTTCTTTGTTGCTGTATCACAAATGATAACACCATTCAATCTTCCCGGCATATACATTTTATGGTCAGTATATTGAATGAAATCATGAGGATTAGATGAAAATGATGAAGGATATAATGAATTAAAGTCAACTCCAACGAAATGAGTCATAATGTTGGAAGTGTCCTCATTTGATACAGTTTTAGTTTCTGGATTATATGAAAGTTTATTAATGTGCGTGATTCCTTTAAGATTTACTCTATGTTGAACATTTGATAAACCACCAGTAATTCCATTACGGAGGATGTGATAAGCTTCAACTGAATCTAGAGTCATTGGTAAATTATTTTTTAATGCATAATTTCTTAAATTGATTCTTAAACGTTGAACATCTTCATCTTTATTTGATTTTACGACATTGCAATAACAACACATTAACTGACAATTTTCTTTGGTATGTGGTTTTTCATTATCGATTCTATCAATGTTGGTTTATTTACATATGTAAACGCTTTACCACACATTTTGCATTTAGATGAAAGGATTAAATCGTGATAGTATTGAAGTCATCCATTGAAACATTGTTTTTAGTATCCCTTTCTGCTTTTTCATCTTGTTTCTTATATGAATCAATTTTATATTTCCAATACTTTTTTGTTAATTCAAAACTTGATTCCACATTTTCTTCTTCTGGATATGTTTCGTTAGGATTGAAGTCTTATATGCTAACGCGTAACGAATCATTGATGCATTCGATGATAAAGAAAGATTATGAAGCATGTCAATTTTATAAACAAATGTTTCTTCAATAATTTTATCAATTGGGTCAATCATAATTTCAACGTCTTTATTGCAATAATGAATAAAATATTCTAATCTATTCTCAAAATTTTTAGCATCATTGAGATATATTTGATAATCTGAATCGGATATTGTTTCTTGAGTTAATGCTGAATAAAATGAATCTTTCGTGAATGGTTCCCTTTATATAATTCATCTTCGTAATTTTCCCATGTGATGAATTGATAAGGGAAAAAGGATTTAACACGTGATTTATTGTTTCCGAAATCTTGAGTGAATTGGTCTAATGTTCCACCCGCTATATAATTTCTGATGTCAATAAATCTCAATTCATGTGGACAGTTTGTTTTCTTTACAATGATTTGCTTAAATTGTGAAGATGAACCCAGCATTGATTTTATTTTCCATTTTGCAGTGTTTAAATCACGAAGAATTAAATTTAAATCAAACTTTCCGAATTAAAACCTATGATATTCACTTTATTGAATTCCTCATCTAGAAGTTCTTTAAATGCTTCTTCTGTTTTCATTTAATGTATGGGACAAAGTCCCGCGTTTGGTCCGTTGCGGCTTCATTAATTCTTCATATTGTTCAATATTTGATTTAGCAACTAATGAACAGGTTGAAAATAAAAATTCAATCCAATCAGAGATGAACGAATCACTTGATGTTAAGCAAAAATTCCTCGTAAATGTTTTATCACGGTCTACGACCTCGCCGCTTCGGTCTGAAAGACCTTCAGGACTCAAAGAGTCCGTTTGCGGCTTTATTTTGACAGTTGATGATACCATAAATGGTTTTAAGTAAGCGTTCAAAGTTGCACATTCAGAAAGTTGAAGTTCTTCTTTAGTCTCTAATGTTTCGAAGTCAAAAGTAATATAATATCTTGTTGTTTATAATATTCCTGCAAATTGTGAGCTAATAGCCATTATATATCTTCTGTTTCGTGATATGTGTGCATATGGTTGTTGTGTGTTTTGCAAATTGAACGTCTTTGAATTAATCTTCCATATATTTTCTTTACATTTCTCACAATGTTTTAAAAATCTTCTTTGGTTTTTCCTTTCTGGGTCATCACGGATAGAATATACTTCTTCTTTGCAAAAGGGGCAAACTTTATATCCTGTGAGTGCTTCAACGTCTGTAATTCTGTCAGCGTGAAGTTTTCCACATGGACTCTGTGTTAATAAAATATTTACTGTTTCAAATTCTGGATCTATCATTATTGATTCACTAATGGAAAGTCTACCTTATTTATGTCTACGTCTTCTGGTTGAGGGTCACAATAATAAAAATCAATATTAACGTTTAACATTCTTGCTAACCTCTCACTTTCTGATGAAATGTCAAATCCTTCATATGCATCTATGGCTTCATTTAAATAACTTCTACGAGTTTTAGGATTAACACCATCAGGAATGTTATAGAAGCGTTTAAATAACCTTCTACCTTCGCTCTTATTTGATTATCATTCATTTTAGCTGTTCCGTTTTTGTTCATTTATGTAAGAATAAAAAATTAAAAAATAAATAAAAATAAAGTTTATTTTTTTAAAGTCCAGGGCTAAAGTCCATAAAATGAATTAAGAACACATAAATTTTTATCATCTGCGACGTGACGAATACATTTTAATTTACTCAAGAATGCGTACCCTGATACATTAAATCTAATTCCTGTCTTATTTAATTTCACAACTTTGAAAAGGAATGTATGAATAGCTATAAAATGATGAGATGATGTTTTATGGGTTGCTTCCATTTTTTCTGAAATAAATGAATAAATATAATGTTTATAAGTTTTCATATCTTTTATATTCTTAATAACGAATGGTATAGACCTTTCAACTTCGTCTTCCTTCGGTGCTGTTCTTTCATATGAAACATTATTAGTATCTTCAATAATGAAACCACAATCGCATAAAATTTTATATGTACCAATTGTTTCTTTTGATATTTTATCTAACAAATCAAAAACTTTATCAACACCTGTACATTTATTTAAATAATAATTTGTGTAAATATCATGGTCTTCTTTCTTAATCGTATTTGTTGCATATGTTACATTTTTCAGTGCTTTTTTGAATTTTTCAGAATCAAGAGGAGGTGAAAGTAATATACATGGATAATCTCCATCGTCAATAAATTGTAACTTATGTTTATGAATAAATTTAGTACCTTCTTCTGAAAGTGTTTCGTCTATTTCACCATCTAATAAATTTTGTGTTGATTCCAAAAAGTAATTTTTATATCTTTCTTCATGAGATTTTTGAACTTCTGATTCTGAAGCTGGGATATTCATTAAACCCTCTACTTCATTCTCATTATATTTTTCAACTTCTCTTAATTCCTTAATTTTTTCATCTATTTCATCTCTTATTTTTTCCAGTCTTTCAATTTCATCATATTCATCATCTTTAATCCGTTCTTCATAATATTCAGGGAAAACATCAGGTTCTTTAGGTTTTTCTTCTTCAGATGTGGGATATAAGAAATTTATAACATCATCTTTATTCATTTTTCCATCATAATCTAAATCATTTAATAACTCCGCGAATTTTTGACAATTTCTTAAATAATATTTATTAACTTCATAACTCGCCTCCTCTAATATATCCTTTATTTCCTCGTTTGTGAATCCCAATTTTTTAACGTCGTTAGTCTTGACACTCATTTTCATACGAATTAAAAAAATAAATTATTCAAAAAATGTAAGACATGAATTTTTAAAGTTTATTTTTTTATTTTTTTTTTTTTTTTATGGTAGTGAATCTTTCATTCATGAAATAATTATTTTAATTTCTTTTACTCTCTCATACATACTAGATTTGAAGAATTCAGAACTTTTACCATAATCCCTAAATGTTTTCTTATCCCTAACGTGTGCCAGTTATTATATGAAACTGAATAAACTTTATCTTTATCTTTACACCTTTCATCACTTCCAATATATTTATATCTCAGTTTTGATTTAGCATTTTCATATTCATTAGCGTTTAATAATTCGCAGTCTTCCTTTTTAAATTGATGTTTAAGATATTCAGGATTTAATACTCTACGTTTATATGCTCCTAACTTAGTTCTAAAGGTTTTTCTACAAAATTTAGGAATTCCATCCTCTTTAATGTCATCAATGATTTCCATTTCATTATTTTCAATTTCTTCTTCTCGTTTATGAGGTCTTTGATTATGACTCCATTGATTCCATGAAATTAAATATTCTTTATCATTATATTTATACTTCATTAGCTTATTTTGGCTTTCATATTCATTTAATAATTCACAATCTTCATTTTTAAATTGAAGTTTAACCCATTCAGGATTTAAACAATGTTTAATTAATCGCGGAATATCTGACATCATCTATATATAGCTTCTTTTATAAAAGATAAAAAATAAATTATTTTAAAATTAATGTTAATTTTTTTAATGTGTTTATAAATAAATATATTTTAATGCATCGTCTATATATAGATGTAACAAAAAAAGTCACTAAACCCGCACTCATATACTACTTTTCGTTATAAATTTTGTATGGATGAGAATGAGAGGACTCGTGTGATCAAGTTTGGTATAATTGATGAGTATGACTTGACACGTGGGTCCTCTTGCTATCATTCTCTCTTGAAAATTGGTGAATTTGAGCACATCGCAGTCACTCCGAAAAATTTTATCATGTTTAACTCAGGAAAATTCAAGAAATCATATGATATTAAGTCAATATGCGCTAAATACATCAAATCACACCACATAATAGTATCAATTACTCCAAATCCAAATAGAATACAAATTTTCCTCATCACAAATCTTTATCAGCCTATATATACTAGTGAACCAATTGATCAAGTAGGTATTTGTCATATCATTTTCTCTGAGAAGCATCAAATAATCTTTACTCTAGGTATAGGAATCAAATCATGGCTTCTCGAAAAATCATATACTCGAGAGGGAAATGCAAAAATAAACACAGGATTTAGAGTCACATTCTTAAAATCATTCGCTTTGAACTATATGGCTCCATTACTTACAAATCCTTGTTGGATTGAATCTAAATCACAACTCGTACTGCCATCGAAAGATGGTATTATTTGTTTTGATGCAGATGGAAACATGTTGAAATGTCCTATATCTCTTAATTCCGAAAAATTTACATTGTATTTGTACAATGAAAACACAAACAAAGCACTAACTAGTGATGGCGATCAAGGTGTTTGTCTCTGGAACAAACATGGCCGCTTAAAATACCATTTTACATCAGTTACTAAACCAATTTACATTGCTTATCAAATGACTAATGAATTTTACATTATTTACGATAGTTCTGCTTTCATTAGTATCTTTGATATCAAAACAGGCCGAGTTTTCCCATTAGTTAAACTTGATGCACCACCTTTACATATCTTTTTCGAACGCGAAAGAGGTAAATCAACTATGTTGTTTGTTTTCCAACGAAACAAAGCAAAAGCATACCGAGTTGTCATTCCATGGTCACTTTGGCGTAAAGTCACAACAGAACCTCTTAAGATCACACGTTGTCCTAAAGCTAATGGTGCAGCACGAATTGCAGTTTTATTAAAAGATGCATCGATCCAATTGTTTTCTCCTGTTACACGAAATTTGTTGAGTTTATGTCATGCACGAATCACCGGATTCCCTATTTCAGTCTTAGTTGATCGCGGTATGCAAAACATGGCTAAATCAAGAGACCAATTATTTGTCACATTTGACAATGGTCTCTTAGCAGTTTTTGGCACTAATGGTCAATTAATGGAACCAGTATTGATGGTTGACATCAAAGCTACATGTTGTGCATTGTCAATGTTTTGTCATAAATGGTGTCTTTTGATTGGTACATCTAAAGGAGACATCATTATTTACGAGTACCGAAAATTACGGTTTTTGAAACGTATTGGTCAAAAAAGAGAAATGATTTATGAAATTTTACATCATGATGATACTAACTCATTTTTTGTTAGTTACCAAGATGTCATTGTTCGATACAACACAGAAACAGGAAATATTGATGAAGAAGTCAACTGTCAACATGGGATTATTTCAAGTGTTTGTGGTTATAACATTGTTATCGGATATGAAGATGGAACATTTAATATTTTTAGGATTACACAAAAAAATCTTCAACAAATCCATGGAAGAGAGAAACCATTACATAAAGGAAAAGTTACAGGAATCACCGCAGGAATATCATTCTTTGTAACAAGTGGATATGATGGATCAGTTTTAGTTTGGTCAAATGATTGTGAAGTTTTAGTTCAACTTATTTTGCCACTTCCTATTTTATCTGTTGCATTTCTTAATGGTAAACGAGGACTTTTGATTGGAACACCATCCGAAATCATGATTGTTAATGGTTCATCTCTTTTTGGTATCCAAGTTGATCCAGAAGATCCTCTTTTCGACAACTTCGACCGATTGAAAGATCAAATGAACGGTATTTTCCAGTTGTTTGATGATTTCGATCATTGTGAAGAAGAAGACATCAATTTTCTTTTTGAACGAAACAAAGAAGAAAACGAAGAAGAAGAATCAGACAACAGCGAATTTGAATTTGATATTGATATTGATGCAAAACATCAATGGGTTCCAAACTTTGTTAAGATTGAACCTATTTACATAGACAAACCACAAAGAAAGAAAAAAGTCACAATAGAGAATAATAATAACAATAACAATAATAATAAGAAAGAAGATGAAGAAGAATGGAGAGATGCTATGGGTCGATCAATGAAAGATTTGATTGACTTGAAAGAAATGGAGATGATTATGGACGAATTAGAAAAAGCTAAAGAAACAGAACAAAAAGAAGACAAAGAAAGAGAAAAATCAATTGAAGAAGAAGAACAATATGAAGAGGAAGATTTATATGAATATGTTTCAGAAGAAGATGAAATATATGAAAAAGAAATTAATAAATCTCCTTCGAAAGTTTCATCTCGTATTAGTGAAAAGAGATCAAAATCAACAGTTAAGTCCAATCTTGATAAAGTAAAAGAAGATAAAAACACTGAAGGAAAAACAACACCAAAGAAATCTCCAAAATTCAAGAAAGGAGAAAATATTTCATCTCATTCCGCTAAAACAATGAGAGAAAATAGTTCATCTTTATCACAAATTTCAGGAAACAATTCATCACTTTCTAATTTGATGAGATCTTCAAAATCAGTTGTTTCTGATATCGAAAAATCAACAAGATCATCAAAAGCACCAGCAAGTTTATCTTCTCTTTCTCTTTCTCTTTCTAATTCAAATCCTAATTCTAATTCTAATTCTAATTCTCCATCAAAATCAAATTCAGATTCACAAAAATCATCTAAAACAAATTCAAAAAAATCAAATAAAAATTCATCAGAGCAAAATTTTTCACCAAAATCTGAAGAAAAACTTTCCAAAAAATCAACAAATGTTGATCAAAAATCTTCAACAAATAATGGTCAGAAACAATTAAAGAATGTCTCTGTTAATAATCAAAAACTTCCAAAGAGAATTCCTCCAATAAATTCACCAAGAATTAATCAAAGACAAAATCAAAATCAGAATCAAGTTGTAAGAAAATCAATTGTAAAAAGTGATAATACTAATAATGAAAGTGCAGTAGTTTCTGAAGTCAAACTTGAATTTCCTTCATCAAAATATGGAGGATTGATGGAAAGTGAAGTTTCAAATGAATTACCAAACAACAGAATTGAAATTGAAACTCAACTTCCTAAATCAATCAACAAAAAGAATAAAAACAAAACATCTAAAGGAGAACGAACTCCAATTTTACATACAAAAGAAATTGGAATGACAACAAATAAAAATAAAAACAAAAGCAAAAACAAAAATAAAAATGAAAATGAAAATCCAGATGTTGTTTTTGTTGATGATCGAAAGATTGATATGTTGATGAAATCAATGAAATCATTTACAGGAAATGAAGAAAACATTGAAGACAATTTCGAAGTGAATTCACCTAAAATCATATCATCAAAGAATCCAAGAAGAAAAATGAAACAAATTCAAGAAAATTTATCTTCATCTCCATCTAAATCAAGTGTCATCAGAATGATCAAAGAATCAGATTCAACAAAGAATTTTAGAATCAGAGAACCACAAATGAAAGGAGAAAATTCACATATTAATGAAAACGAACCATTTATCAGACAACGAAATCCAAGACATGTCATATTACATAACACTAAACGAGTTGTCAATCCAGATATTGACATCAGAGAATATATTCCAGCACAATTTTATTTGGACAAGAAATTTTTGAGCAAATTCATTGACATTCATGATTCTGAAGTCCAACAATTTCTGAGACGCCTTGCATGTTTCCATGGTGCTTCATTTGATATTACAGATAACAATAACGATGACAATGCCAATGCCAATGAGAATGATAATGATGATGAATTAATCTATCAAACTGATAATGAATCAAGAAAAGAAGAAAGTATTGAAAACAAACTTAATTATATTAAAGAAATCAAAGAATATTTGATTAAATATTCACCACATAAACCAAGAGTTTTCAATAAACCAAACTTGAATTACGATTCCGAAAACTATTACAATTATGAACGTAAACATGACATTGTCAATCATCATCCTCGACGAATCAGTGTTCAAGAACGATCTGCGAAACTCCAACATTTGCAAGATATTGAAAACGAAGACAAAGGAAAGTCGAAATTTAAACCATTTGTTGATTTTGGATTTAAGAAAGAATCATTAAGTGACATTTCACATATATTTGAACGTGCAAACAAGAAGATGAGAGCCTCTGCACAATCACAACGATCTCGAAAGATCGAAAAACCAATTAAGTTGATTAATTCACCTAGATCTAGCGTCAGATCCGGAAAAGTATAATATTATTTGATATTAATATTTTATAGACATAATTAAAATATGTTTCGCACTTTTTCTGATAAGCCGCAAGCCGATAAAAAGTGTGAATACATATTTTAATAGATTCTGATACTTTTTCTGGCTTATTTTATAAGCTTGTAAAAACTATTGTTGTATGATTATATAAATTTGTTATGTTTGAATAATTATTTACTTGAAAAATTTTATTACTTGTTGGGCTTCCTTAAAATAGTAAGGCGCTTAATTTTCCAGTAGGAGAATTGACCTATTGTAGAATTGCAAAGTATCTGACCAAACTTATTGGAATGGGACCAAACGAATTGGTTATGCGTTATCTATTCCTCTTCTGATATTTTTAATTGCAAATGCTTGATTTTCAAACTCTATTTGGTAAAAAAATCATATAATTTCGACAAATTATTTTGAAGATGTTTTATTATCGTCTGGAAAAGTGACAAAATTATCATTGTCGTCTAAAAAAGAGATTTTACAAGCATGTTTTGGTACCTAAATAAAAGAAGATCATCAATTCCATCTATGTATATAGTGTGCAAACACGCATGATATATGGTGTAGTTCTTTATCTGACTAAAAATCAGTATAAATTCATTTAAAAAAAAAACTTGATTTTCAAAGATGAAGTCACAAAATTAGGTTCAAAGTTTCATGCCCTAAGATGGAGCAGTAGCTCCACTAACTCCAATTAAATCATGTTTAAATGTCACTTTTTGTGTATTTTGGCACTTTTTCTGCAAAAAGCCTTTTTGGCACGCCCGTAAATACAAAAAGCTGATTTTTAAACCATTTGTTGATTTTGGATTTAAGAAAGAATCATTAAGTGACATCGCACATATATTTGAACGTGCTAACAAGAAAAGAAGAGCCTCTGCACAATCGCAACGAGCTCGAAAGATTGAAAAGCCAATTAAGTTGGTTAATTCACCAAGATCTGATGTCAGATCTGGAAAAGTATAATATTATTTGTTATTAATATGTTTTCCTATATATTTTTGTATAATTATATAAATTTGTTATGTTTGTTTACTTATATAATTGAAAAAGTTGAAAAAAAAATATTACCAATTTTCCTGAATATAATTTTTATTATCAAGATTTACTATTATATGATTGAAAAAGTTGAAAAATCAAGTTATCAAACAAATCAGAATTAAAGTAATTTATACAGAAATATACTTTGAATGAGTACTTGTAATTATTGAATTTTCTACAGATATATAAATATAAGATTTAACGTTTAAGTATCAAAACAACAAAAAACTTATGAATAAAGTCATTTCTACAAAAGAATACTTTAATTGAACATTTAACGATTTTATTCATATTATTGAACAATATTGGATAAAAATCACAAAGATCTGGATAATGATATAGATAGTTATACTTAGATGTCTCTGCATTATTTTCATTAGTATTAATTGGTTCATTAGATGTTAAATTATCATAGAACGAATTTTTAACATTGACTTCAGAATCATAATTGGAATCAAGGTAAAATATTTTTCCATTCCCAAGATTTCCTAATATTGAACATTCATTTAATATCAATTGACCTTGTATATATATAACTCCATTATCATAACTTTCCTGAAAATTCTTCAAAATATTACAATTTTCAAAATTATAAATATATCCGCTTTGTAGAAAAATTATCGTTGTAGCTGAAGCATTATTACTTTCAATAGTAGAATAATTCAGTTTCTCGAAGTTTGGAGAAGAGAGAAGTAGTGCAACATTTTGATAACCAATATTTTTACTTATATTTGTAGTTGAAAATCTCATCTTTCCATAAAATGATAGAAAATAAATGAATCAATTGTTTTACCACATTCACATGCAGAACTTTCATCTACATAGTTTAAGCATTCTGTTGATTCTGTTTTCAATCTACAAAGTGAATGTTGACCAACAAAAGCAGAACAGTTATGGGAACAAAATCTATGTTGGACAATAGAACAGTCACGATTATCAATATTCACAACCGCTCCACTAATATCTGAACTGCAGCTCTCAAAGAAACACTCAGAATGCATGATGTTTGCATTATCTTTAGAATAACTAATAACAGATGTTTTGTGATCTCGAAACATACATTGAAATAAGAATATTTCGTTGTTTGAAAAAGAGAAATCTGGATTGATCTTATTATTAACAAAGTTAGTGTTTTCACTGTGAAAATATAAGTTCCAGACATCTTTTGGAGCATTATCATTATGAATAGTTTTGATTATTTTCAGGCGAATTAATTGACATCGAATTAATTTGAGTGCCCAAATTGGGCAATCAAAAAATTAAGGCTTCTCTCCGGCCAAACAGCTGTATCGTCGTTTGACCTCACATTTTCTCAAGTGCTAATGATTTTTATATATATATATATATATATATAGTGTTTAAGTGGGGAACTTTGATATTTTTTTCCACATCATAGTAGTTTCACTTTTTGCATATGAACTCTATATTGATTCTGGCTAGAAACTAGAGAAATTAAAAATTTTCAATTTTTGGCCCATTAAAAGTACCTTTTTGAAAATAAAAAATATTATTATTAATTATGTGTGATCTTTTGTTGTAAACAGAAATTCATCAAAAGTGACACCTCAGAAAAGCTAAAATATTGAATTTTTGGAACTTTTGATAGAGCACGTTTTTAAATATTAATTAAAGTAAATGTATATTTTGTAAAGATTCTTTTTAATAAAAAAATAAAATCTTGAAGAAGAACACAAAATCTTCTGAAAAATAATATCACATAAACTCATATTATTTTCTAATATATAACTATTTTATATAAAAATCAAATTCAATGATCTTAAAAGCGAAGGATAAACCTCAAAATTGACGAATATAATGAGTGGGAATATAATGCTTATCTATCATAAAACCATATGAAATATCATTTTTGCTTTACGCCTAATTTTTGACGACAATTAGCAAAAAATGTTAAATGTTAACACTCAGTCCATTTGAATATGAAAAATAAAATTGACTTTGATTAAATGTTTTTATTTATCATGCAATTCTTCTTGCGACCAAAGATTTGAATAAAATTTCAAAAAATAAGATAGCTTAAAAAAATAATATACGGTAGTGTTTACTAATAGATGAATAGTATATAAATTCTATTAAAATGGATTTGATCCAAAAAAATATAAAATCAAAAATAATTGTTATAATTTAAATGAAGAAGTAATTCTATTAAAACGATTAGAATCAGAGAACCACAAATGAAAGGAGAAAATTCACATATTAATGAAAACGAACCATTTATCAGACAACGAAATCCAAGACATGTTATATTACATAACACTAAACGAGTTGTCAATCCAGATATTGACATCAGAGAATATATTCCAGCACAATTTTATTTGGACAAGAAATTTTTGAGCAAATTCATTGACATTCATGATTCTGAAGTCCAACAATTTCTGAGACGCCTTGCATGTTTCCATGGTGCTTCATTTGATATTACAGATAACGATGCCAATGCCAATGATAATGATAATGATGATGAATTAATCTATCAAACTGATGATAAAAACAAAAATGAAGAAAATATCAAAGACAAACTTAATTTTATCAAAGAAATCAAAGAATATTTGATTAAATATTCACCACATAAACCAAGAGTTTTCAATAAACCAAACTTGAATTATGATTCCGAAAACTATATATAGATTGTTATATTTAGATGTCTTGATATTATTTTGGTTAGAAGTTATTGGTTTGTTATCATATACTGTTAAATTATCATAGAATGATTTTTTAACAATGACTTGACCATCAAATGGAATATAAAATATTTTTCCTTTTCCAAGATCTCCTAAAAATTAGTCATGTGATTTTATCCCAAGCATATGGGGATTCTAAATTTTTGTCCCTATCGTTATCCCAATTGAATTTTTTTTTGGAATTTAAAAATTTTTTTTCTCCATGTAAACTTAAATTTTAATTTTTACCACTAAAATGCAATATTTCAACAAATTAATGAGTAATAATATTTTAATTTATAATAAATATTATAAATCTCCTCAATTTAATGTAATTATTGTATTAATTTTTGTTGAAAATATAAAATCTTCAAGTAAATGATGTGAATTTAATATTTTTAGAATGTTGTTTAATTGTACTTTATTATAGAGATGTGAAAACTTAAATTTTATAATCCCTGGGATGCACTTTCTTCGATTTTTTTTAAATTTTTGGGATAAATTTTGACATCTTTTTTTTTGCTGGCGACCCCCCGTTTAGGGCATCAAAAAAACATGTTGTTTCGTTTCAAGATCGGGATATGTTGTGAACCCGACTTCTTTCATTAATGAAGTGATTTCTTAAGTTGAATAAAAACAAATTTGATTGAAATTCATACAAAATTTCTTTTTATCATTATTATTTAAGATGCTTTTTTATGTTGAATTGTTAATTTTTTTATTTCCACCTGGGATATTTTGAATTGGGCTAGCCCAATCCCACCTCTCAATTTTCTCTCAATTGGGCAATGGGGATCCCATATAAAATGTATTGTAACAAAATTTTACATGCATAATAAAGTACAATTAAACAACATTCTAAAAATATTAAATCACATCATTTACTGAAGATTTTATATTTTCAACAAAAATTAATACAATAATTACATTAAATTGAGGAGATTTATAATATTTATTATAAATTAAAATATTATTACTCATTAATTTGTTGAAATATTGCATTTTAGTGGTAAAAATTAAAATTTAAGTTTACATGGAGAAAAAAAATTTTTAAATTCCAAAAAAAAATTCAATTGGGATAACGATAGGGACAAAAATTTAGAATCCCCATATGCTTGGGATAAAATCACATGACTACTTTATTATGCATGTAAAATTTTGTTACAATACATTTTATATGGGATCCCCATTGCCCAATTGAGAGAAAATTGAGAGGTGGGATTGGGCTAGCCCAATTCAAAATATCCCAGGTGGAAATAAAAAAATTAACAATTCAACATAAAAAAGCATCTTAAATAATAATGATAAAAAGAAATTTTGTATGAATTTCAATCAAATTTGTTTTTATTCAACTTAAGAAATCACTTCATTAATGAAAGAAGTCGGGTTCACAACATATCCCGATCTTGAAACGAAACAACATGTTTTTTTGATGCCCTAAACGGGGGGTCGCCAGCAAAAAAAAAGATGTCAAAATTTATCCCAAAAATTTAAAAAAAATCGAAGAAAGTGCATCCCAGGGATTATAAAATTTAAGTTTTCACATCTCTACCTAAAATTAAACATCCATTTAATGTCAATTGACCTTGTATCCATATATCTATAACTCCATTATCAGAACTTTCCTGAAAATTCTTCAATATATTACAATTTTCAATATTATATGAATGTTCATTATTTAGAACAATCATTATATGTATCTCCATTTAGAATAATTATCGTTGAATCTGAAGCATCATTACTTTCAATAGTTGAATAATTCAGTTTCTGGAATTTTAAAGAATCAATGTATAGTGTAATATCTTCAGAACCAATATTTTTACTTATATTTGTAGATGAAAATCTCACTTTCCATTGGAATGAGAGAAAATTTTGTCGCCATATGATTTACCACATTCACAAGCAGAACTTTCATTTACATAGTTTAAACATTCTGTATTTCATGTTTTCAATACACAAAATGAGTGTTGACCAGCAGAAGAAGCAGAACATTTATGGGAACAAAATCTATGTTGGACAATAGAACTATCACAATAAATATGCACAGCAGCTCCATTACTAGAACTACAACTATCAAAAAAAACACTCAGAATGCATGATTTTGGCATTATCTTTAGAATAACTAATAACAGATGCTTTGTAATCTCGAAACATGCATTGGAATAGAAATAATACATTATTTAAAAGAAAGTAAACAGTATTTCTCCTATTTTTAAGAAAGTCCTGGTTATTAACAAAGTTGGTGTTTTCACTCTCAAAATATTAGTTCCAGATATCTTTTGGAACGTTATCATTATTAATGACTCCAACTATTTTCCTTAGTATATATATATATAACAACAAAAATTCGAAATTTAAAGTTTGGCAGTGGAGAGTGATTCAATAATGTACATATGACATATTTCAACTTTTTCGACTTTTTTGAAATCATTCTTTGTTATATAACGAAATTTTACGGATTGCAATAAAAAATTGAAAAGCATGAACAAAAATGATAAATATAATATATACATTTTATTGGCACTTCAAAAGATCCTAGAATCAAAACAATTTTAAATAATTATAATATTTTCAATATTTGGGAGAATATTCATTTTTAAAAATAATATTATATTCTGCATTTTTATGCCGTAATTAATATGATTTCAAAGATAGTCATGAATATTTCATGTCTTTTGAGTTAGCAGGCTTGTCACAGAAAATAATTGACATCAAAAAAAGTGAATTTCAGTTTTCAATTTTATTGAGGAAAAAAAATAAGACTCAAGTTTTTCAATAAAAACCCTACTTTTTAGCAAGAATCTGTGAATAGTAACAAAATTTCTTGAACATTAAAATGAATAGACTATCATCATCTTCGACGAATCACTGTTCAAGAAAGATCTGTAAAACTCCAACATTTGAATGATATTGAAGATATTTAAAAGAATCAAGAAAATGAAAACAAAGGAAAGTAAAACTTGGAATAGTTTAATCTATGCATGCATGTTTCTCTTAAGTAAAACGATAGAAGATGTTTGGTCTTTGGCAATTTTTTTTGTCGAAATTGAACCTTTAAATCCTAAATGATAGAATATTGTACTCTACTAATAGAGTTACAAATATTGAGATCAAATCTAGGTGTGAGATTATTTTTGGACAACTTGGTCCATCGAATTGTGGAAGTCATGCTTTCGAAGGGAGCAGACGCACTCTCAAATCGGTTACATTTCAAGAGAATTCCAAACTTAATACAATCAGCGACTGTGCATTTTATGGATGTACGGAACTTAATGCAATTGATTTTTCAAACTGTAAATTTCTTACAACAATCAACACTTATGCATTCTTTAATTGTCATTCACTAACAAATATATCTTTACCATCTTCAGTACGAGTTTTGTCAAAATACTGTTTCATTTATTGTTCAAATCTTGAAAATGTTTTCATTTCATCAGATTCTGAATTGCGAACAATAGATTCTGGATGTTTTAAAGGAACAATTCTTAAAAATCTTTTTATTCCAAAATACGTCTCATTGATGTATGCAAATAGAGATTCCCCAGAACCACTTCAATCAATTCAATGCGATGAACTAAGTGAATTTTTTACTTCAGTGAATGGGGTTTTATATACAAAAGATAAAAAATCACTAGTTTTCTTTCCGAGAAATCACTCCAAATCATTCATACTGCCAGACTTTATTGAAAATATTGGATATTATGCATTCGGAAATTCTTTGATCGAATCCATTACTTTCACACCAAACGTCAAAACAATTGAAGCATATGCATTTAAAGGCTCGTTATTAAAATCATTAAATCTTCCGGCTTTCATTAATTTAAATAATTATGGACAATTTCAAAACTGCCAAAACCTAAATGAAATAACAATAGAGAATGGAGTCACAACAATTAGCCCAACATGTTTCATGGGGGCAAATATATCTTGTATTGTATTTCCAAATACATTAAGATTTATTGGTATCAATGCTTTTGCAAATTGTTATAATCTGATTAATGTAACTATCCCCAGGTCAGTTACAGATTTAGGTGGTAGATGTTTCTCTTCGCATACCAACATTACTTTTGAAGAAGGATCTCGATTCATAAGAGATGATCAAAATCTAATATATAATTCAAGAACAACCCTGTCTTTATGTTTGAGCGAGAAAGAATCATATACAATACCAGAAGATGTTGAAAGGATTTATGACAACCTTTTTAGTGAAAATGATAATCTCAAAACTATTGTTTTTGAAGGTGAATCGAAGCTTAAAGCGATAAATGGTGCAGCATTTTCTAATTGCAGAAATCTAACAAATATTATTCTTCCGAATTCTCTTGAAATTATTGGTCCAGCCGCATTTTTAGGTTGCACATCCATCAGAACAATAAAATTTGGAAATAAACTGAAAACAATATTGGGTACAGCATTTTGTGGTTGTACAAGTCTTGAAACGATCGAATTTTCAGAATGTGAAAATGCAACAATTCGAGAAAGTGTTTTTATTAATTGTAAGAATCTCAAAAATATAATTTTCTCAAATAATATAACATTAATTCAGAATTCATGTTTAGTGAATTGTTGGTCGTTGAGAGAAATTGTTTTCCCATCTTCATTAGAGAAAATTGATACATATGCATTCAGTAACACAGGAATCATAAACATCACATTCCCATCAGAATCTAAACTGACATCTATTGGTTTGGGCTGTTTCAGCAAATGTGTTAATCTTTCACACATCACACTTCCTCCAAATGTCAAACAGATCGGATCCAACTGCTTCGAGAACACGAACATCACAACTTTTACAGTTCCAAATAACACCGAATACATGTCAGACTATGTCTTCAAAGGATGCACAAACCTCGTCAAGTTCACAATTCCATCAGATTGCTCTCTTCGAAACATCGGTAATTTGTTCTTCGAAGGATGTTCATCTCTGTCTGTCATCGAGTGTCCACGAAGTGACTACTTCGCAGTCGATGTCGGTGCTCTTTACAACAAATCAGAGACTGTCCTCATCTGCTTCCCTCCCGCGTCGCAGATCAAATTCTTCAATCTCCCGCAGACACTTCGCACTAGATCATCAGGTGCATTCATCGGTTGTAGAAATCTCATCAGCATCTCTATCCCAGACGACTCCGTTCGGATCATTAAACAATATGCGTTCGCAAACTGCTCTTCACTGACAGCAATCAACATCCCTAATTGCGTCGAGAACGTCGAAAGTTCTATCTTCTTCGGATGTGATCATCTTAGGTGTGGAGTCATCATCGAGAACAGGTCAATTTCATTTATTCGTAAAATCATTTCTGAATGCCTTCTTAACCCGAAAGCGATATTCTCATGTGACTTTCTTACATGCCAATGCAGAATCATCAACAGTGAAATCACACAATCACTTCTCTATGCATTCACTATTATTCTATATGTAGGATTATTATAAAAATTTTATTTTTATTTTATTTTTAAATTTTTATTTCAAATTATAAATTTCTATGATATAAGAAGTTGAATAAATAATAGTCAAAATTGAAGATTATATTGCATACATTTTTTATTTTGTAAACAAGCGTGTCATGCAGAAATGAGAATTCGTATGAAATATGAGTCGCATTGATTGCAAATCATGGGATCTATAATGAAACATATGCTTCGTTTCGACTATTAGTATGTATTATATACATGGTTAAGGGATTGAAAGTATTGTAAAAAATGACAACTTTACATCTGTAAAGTGTCAGAATTTTTTTTAAAAAAATTGCCTATCCGAGTTTTTTATGGGCGATTGTTCCTTAGGAAACATATATTTATAATATATGCATCATAAAGAACAATTCCCTCACTGAAGTGAGAAAACTTGTTCGCAATAATTGCGAATTGTGAATAAGTTTTCTGACCTTTGACAGTATACTAAACGCTATGAGGTACTGATTATATATCAGCGCCTCATAGCCTTTAGTTTTCAGTAGATAATTAGGAAACTTTGTCAGGTATCATTAAAATTATGATTAAAATTCCTGAACGAAAACTATCAAAAGCAAGTCATAAAAAATATAAATATAAGATTCATAATGTAAAAAGGGTGCGTGCGAAGCATCGATGGAATAATTTCAAAAAAGATTCAAATTTAAAGAGAATACGGCAATATTTTTAAACAAAATTTTGGGGGATATCTCGACATGTTTAGTTTAGTTATAGCCTCAAATTGAAGATAATGTAGCAATGATCATGAGCCTTAAAAAGGCACATTTCTCTCATTTTGCTGATACTGCCGCATGAATGTACCTTTCCTCGAAAATTAAGCCCCCGATTTTCAATCAATAATATTAATAATAAAAACTAATTTCACTCGAAAATATCCTTAAAGAAACCAGTTCGTGATAGGTAAAAAATTCGGCTATCTTTTGGATAATAAAATAAATTATAAGAATTTTCAAAATCAAAAGCTTTGATGTTATAGACCGAAAATAGATTTTTTCGGTTTTCTCTTCAAATAATTGAAAGAATGATACTATTATAGGTTTATTATATTATATAGCATATAATCATGCTATAGCCGAAAATTATAAGTTTTGAGAAGATTGAATATAACACAAATAAATTTGAATGTAAGTTAAATTGCTTGTTGTTTTTAATAGCTATTTAATGAGAAATCCAATATTGCAAAATTCAAATTGAATGATTGAAAGAACAGAAAAAGTCATTCTTTTCAATTTCGAATATGTTTCATTGTATTTATAATTATATGGCAAATAAGATATTTAAACTTGATTTTTGAAGGAAAATTCACAAAATTGAATAAATTCGAATAATTTTTATTCAAAAATAAACTAGTTATTTGAGTTTAATACTAATTATCTATTCAAACTACAAAGTTTGTAATTTAAAATATTTTGTGAGATCAGATTGAATTAATTCAAGGTTCTTTTCAATTAATATTAATAACCATATTACGCATTTTCGAACATTCTAAACCAAATATATAAAAATGGGAGACGAATGTTAAATTTGCTAGACATGGGGGAGTTGTCTGCAAAGTTTTAGCTCTTATCTCTAACAAAAAATTAATTTTAAAAAAAATGACCGAATACGTTTCACAGCGAGAAAAAAATAAAAGGCAAGATAGAATTTTCTAGACATAAAGAAGTTGTTTACCGAGTTTTAGCTCTTATCTCTAACAAAAAATTAATTTTTAAAAAAATGACCGAATACGTTTCACAGCGAGAAAAAAATAAAAGGCAAGATAGAATTTTCTAGACATAAATGTTGCATGCTAAGTAGTGTCAACGATAGAAATTGAGATCCTATTAATCGTCGAGGAAGTACGATTATTTTTTGGGCGAAAAGTATCTTAAAATATGATTATTAATATGTTTTTAAAATAAAAAATTTGAAAGTTAATTTGAGATTCTCATATAATTTTTTGAATGAAAAAAATAAATATAGTCTATATGAGTTCTTGAATAATCACACTTGAGATATATCTAAAAAATAATTAAAAATAGAGTTTGAGAAGACTTTTCAAGGTGTAATGAAAAGTGTGATATAGAAAATAATTATAGATATTTTAATTTTATATATTGTGCTAAGCATTATATTAAATTTTTAGGAAAAACACTTTTCATAAGTATTCAATATTTGAAAATACGCTCCAAAAAAGAATAGATTCTTTTATATTCGCTTATATAAAAGGAGACTCTCTATCAGATGCGAATGCCTGAATTCAGCACCTCTGATAGAGAGTTTCCTCTTATATAAGCAAATCTTTTTCATTCGTTTTTGTTAATATAAAAAAAAATATCTACCAATATGAGAAATTAAACCCTGCGAGGCACCAGTCTAGAACTGGCACTTCGCAGGGTTGAATTTCTCTTGATAAAATACAATAATCAAATGCTCCAAAGTTTTCAAATTTTTATTAGGAATAGGAGCCTACAAAGCACTGATTATATATCAGTGCCTGGTAGGCTCCTATTCCTTCTCTAAATGGGAGAAACTTTGTTTGAATAAGATAACATGCGAACAAAGTTTCTCCCATTTAGAGTGGGATTTGGAGGGTGAGAGGTACATAGATAGACTATGTATCTCTCACCCTCCAATTCCCTCGGGAAAGTTCGAAAACTCGGTCGCAATTGCATCTGATTGCGACCGAGTTTTCGAACTTTCTATTAGGAATAGGAGCCTACAATGCACTGATTATATATCAGTGCCTGGTAGGCTCCTATTCCTTCTCTAAATGGGAGAAACTTTGTTTGAATAAGATAACATGCGAACAAAGTTTCTCCCATTTAGAGTGGGGTTTGGAGGGTGAGAGGTACATAGATAGACTATGTATCTCTCACCCTCCAATTCCCTCGGGAAAGTTCGAAAACTTTGGTGCAATCAGCAACGATTGCACCAAAGTTTTTGCGTTTAATTGAAGGAATTGCTCTTTATGATATATACAGTTACAATGCATATATCATAAGGAGCAATTCCTTCCAGATATCTGGCAAACTTGCTCGCAATGGTTCACAATTGCGAACAAGTTTTGTCATTTGTCAAGAGAAATTAAACCCTGCGAAGCGCCAGTTCTAGACTGGTGCCTCGCAGGGTTTAATTTCTCATATTGGTAGATTTTGATGTTTTTATATTAACAATAACTCATGAAAAAGATCCGCTTATATAAGAGGAAACTCTCTATCAGAGGTGCTGAATTCATGCATTCGCATCTGATAGAGAGTTTCCTTTTATATAAGCAAATATAAGAGAATCTATTTTTTTGGACCGTATTCTCAAATATTGAATACTTATGAAAAGTGTTTTTTTTCTAAAAATCTCAGAATATATTTACAATAGTAAAATAAATAAGATATTTAAATTTATTTTTAAATGCTTTTTTTTATATGAGATTCTCAAAAGTTATATCAAAAGTCTGTTTTTTCTAAAATCTAATATCATAATCTATTTCTCATTTTAAGTACATCTTAATTCATTTTATTTTCTATATTTTTTCAATATTTTTGAGGGAATTGTGTTGCTTCCCCGACGATAAAATTGAGAGGTTTACACATTGACACTACTTAGCATGCAACATTTAGATGTTTCAAAATTTTTTTTACAAAATCAATTTAGCTTACAGAATATCCCATTGCCTAAAGGCAAGAAAGGTCGTAGGGTCAATACCTACGACCAAATCAAAGCTCTTGCTGTGATACATGACCACTGGGCCTTTCCCTGTGGTCAAACAAAACAATGGAAACGTTTGAAATTACAACAAATTGATGTATCTTATAGAGAAGTACGCAGATACTTCAAAGAAAATCATTTCACCAAGACGCGATTAGAGCATGCCGGGCCAGAAACAGCAGTAAGATATTGGGCGCTTTCACCCAATCTTATCTGGCACGCAGATGTTCATTATTTTAGGGGTGTTCGTGGCCAATATATTTATGGCATAATCGACGATTTTAGCCGCAAAGTCCTAGCGTGTATACAAATACCAGATATGCTGGCAGCGACGACAGCGAACGTTGCGGCTTCCGCCTTCATTGAATTTGGCGCCCCTTATTGTTTCTGGACCGACAACGGTTCAGAAAATAGGGGCGCCTTTCAAGATCTACTTGATCTTTGGGGCGTCCAATGGCGGCATACAGACTCTCATTCTCCCTACCAAAATGGGAAGATTGAGAGATTCTGGCCGACATTGGAGCGCTGCCAAAGCATTCAGGCTATTCCTGCCTTTATTTGGAAGTACAATAATAACACACCGCATGAAGATCTCCCAATTAATCCATTAACTGGAACAAATTACACGCCAAATCAAATGTATCAGCTGAAACCGAAATACACAAATGCAGATACAGAAAGGTTGTGGCAAATATTGGATACAGATACAGGCATGACCGCTGTTGACACATTCACAGCGTAATAATAAACATAATTTTTTAATTTCATTTTTAACAAGTTTTTTTAAATGTATGTAATGAATAATTCATTAGAATATGATAATGCACATTGTAACAGAATAGAACAATCACCAAATTTTTTTTGAAATTAAAAAATAAAAGTAAAAAGTATAAAGTAATCTAACCAAAAAAGATATTTAAAAGAATTTTGGAAAAAACAGAATAAGGATAATGATATTATTTTAGATACACAATCGATGTACTGAAGAATAATCCGGTAAAATGATGATATAAAAAGTAGTATATGATGCGGGTTGTGTGACTTTTTTTGTAATCGTAAGAATTCTCACATAATTGAATGATTTTTGAACATACTTCCGAATAGCAGATTTTAAAAATTTATGAATAATTTATAAAAAGTTTTTATTCCTACAATTCCTATATTACCATTAATAAAAAGAATATATTTTATAATAGTTTCATTTCGAACATGTTAAAATTTATCTGCATTTCGAAAAATTTTATTATAAATGATAATATAATTTATTAAATTAATATATAACTTATGAATTTTTACTTTTTGTATGAAATAAAATTTAGTATTAATAAAGTTATAAAATAAATTGGTGCATGTTAGATGTAAATAAGATATAAAAAGGTGTTTATTCGTATTATTTCAGGTGATTGTAAACAATTAATTATATATGAGCAATGCTCAAATTAGTAAGTTTTTAGTCTGATTAGATCTCATCAGGACAAGCACTGAGGATAAAGTCTATTAGTTGTGTCTTGGTTTTGATGAGAGGAACAGCGGTCATCAGGAGATCACGCTTGTTGGAGCCAATTGGTGTACGACCCTTCCAATTGTGCATAGATCTGAGTGCTGATATGGTAAAGAACTCAAGGACAAAGAGTCTTTGAGACTTTGTAAGGTACTCGTCTTGGTCTTTTTCTTCTTGGATGGTCTTCGTCGAAGCTGAGGATTTGATTTCTTGAGCTTCAATCGGATCATACTCTTCGTCTTTTCTTAATGTAAGTTGTTCACGCTTGTAGTCGTTTCTGAGGACATTGAGACCGGCTTCGAGCTCTTGTGCTTTCTTCGGAGATTGAGAGAAGTGCATCTGTTGTTGGCTCTGCATCTGCTGCATCATCTGCATTTGCTGTTGCATCATCTGTGTCATTATCTGCATCATGTCTTGAGCTGGTGCAGATGTCGCTGGTGCAGGTGTCGCTGGTGTTGAATCTTCTTGGGACATTTGATCTACGGTTAGAACAATAAGTAACGGTTAAACTTCTACTGGTAAAGTTTATACTGGCAGAACTTCTACTGGTAGAGTTTATACTGGCAGAACTTCTACTGGTAGAGTTTACACTGGCAGAACTTCTACTGGTAGAGTTTATACTGGCAGAACTTCTACTGTTTCCCTCAAAATTGAATACTTTAGCAGAACTTCTACTGGTAGAGTTTATACTGGCAGAACTTCTACTGGTAGAGTTTATACTGGCAGAACTTCTACTGGCAGAACTTCTACTGGTAGAGTTTATACTGGCAGAACTTCTACTGGCAGAATTTCTACTGGTTATGACCGAGCTTCACCCATGTTCTGCTTACCTCTACAACACATTAAAGTCCAAGAGAACAATCCTTCTTACAAAGATCTCCAGACGACAGATTCAAAGGCTTGAATCAGCAGCAGGTGTCATTCTCAGCTTCGACTCAGAACTTAAAGATAAGAAAGATATTTTAGATTCAAAACGAGAGAGTCTTGCTGCTTTTTTGCAGAAGCACCCATGGATCAACATAGATCTACTCTCTCCATATAATACTCTCGTAGAAACATTCCTTACATATAGGCAGCTGCTTGACAGGACTGACCAAAACCTTCTTGTTGAGTGTGACGGTTCATTAGGTCCCACGGACCATCAGATCATACCAGTTGATCCCCCTCAAGAATAAATACCCCCTTTTTTAAACTACTAATATTTTTCATGTCTGATCATGTTAAGATCTCTCCGGAAAATATTACTCCTTGGTCAAAAGAGGAGTTCCAAACACTCCTAGATTCCATAGAGAATGATCTCGACGATGAAATGCTTGGTGCCCAAATAGCGATCAGAGTCAAACTTGGAGAAACAAGAGAAAACGTGAAGAAACTCAAAGAAAAGCTTACAGAACTTACTGAAATCGATGTTTATTATCGAAGTATCGAAAGATCTCTTACCAAACTCAAAAAGCAAGACCAATGCCTCGTGGTTATCGTTCAGAAACTTGCACTGATGAGAAATACATATCACGAATACCTCCATGTGAGAGATTTACCATCTTATAGCACTCCAGAGGTCAACTTTTCATAATTAACTCCAATACTCACTGATACACAAGTTGTGATCGAAGGAATGCTTCCTACCTATCCAAACTATGATAACATACCACATCTCATGGATTACTTGAAGAAACGGTTCACGATATTGTTCTGCGAAACAATGAAAAGTCGCCAAAATACAAGAACGCAACGCGAACAAGATCTACTCATTGAGTTATTATATAACACAAAAGAAATAAAACAATATTTATAATATTTTAGGGCTAGTCCCAAAAATTTTTTTCATTCTCTTTTCAGTACTAAAATTGAATAAACCACTAAGAAATAAATTCAATAAACTCTCAGAATAAAAACATTATATATTTTCTTCATACTTTTAAAAATTATTTAATTATTCAAAAAATTATTTCCATCCTTAATTATTCAAAAAAAATGACAAAGTGTTATTTATCAATAAAAATTATTTCTTATACAATATATTATTTTTTTAAATTTTTAAGTAAGATTTTTCATTCTGGATTGAAATTTAAGGGATATTTAAATTCTAAATCGGTAGAAAGATTCTATTTTTTGCATAGATTCCAAATATGGTGTCAATTTTGAATTCAATGAGTTATATCAAAAATAAAATTCTTGAATAGAGTAAAAAAATTTAAATAATTTATTTAAATATTTTCTTCTGACATTTTTGAATAATTTATTTTTTTAATTCGTAAGAAAATGAGTGGATCAAGATTCGTAACCGTCAATCAATTAATGGATGCTCTTTCACCAATTCTTGAAAATGTTAAACAAGTAGATGTTTATTTCGATGATTATGTAGAAAGTTTATATTATAAAGGTAAACATAATATTAAACCCATTGCTTTTGCATTTGATAATAAATTAATTGAAAATGCAAAAATTTGGGAATTAATTCCAGATATTGAATATATAACGAATATAACTAATAAATGGTTCAAACGAATTCCAACCACAAAAGTTCTTTGTAAATTAATGATCAAAACCGAGGCCAAAGAATTTCATGAATTTACATATCATCCAAATAAAGTTTCAGAACTAGAAAATGAAAAACTTCAGAAAAAATTAAACGATAGACTTTCAAATGATCGTATTGAAAAAATAAATAAACTAGCAGAAGTTGCATTGAATAATGAAATATTTGATGAATATAACCTTGAACTCAGTGATGGGCTTTAAGGACCCGGGCTCAACGAGTCATGATTTATGAAATCAATAATTTGATTTATTCGCTCTTCAATAATTTCTATTCTTTTTGTTAAATCATCTATTTTCATTAATGAGGTGATTCTTGATTGAGGAATAGATTTCAAACTAACCACTCCTTTTATTTTTGAAATTTTGAATCCATCAACTTTAAACATTTTATTCAATTTACACGTTGTCAATTCTTCAAATAATTTTTTATTATTAGCATAATAGTCATTAAATTCTTCAACAGATGAAAAAATTTTTATTTCAGTAATTGGTTTAGCAACGTTTATTTTTTGTTGAACATTTTCACTTTCATTTATTTCTTCCTCCTCTGTTTCATTTATTTTTAAAATTGGTTTCATTTATCATTAAATAAAAATTAGAATATAAGTGATGAAATATATTTTTTAATTAATATTAAATCAGAAATGGCTGCAGGATTCTTTAAAAAATTATGGGATGGAATTAAGAAAGCTGCGGGTTGGGTTCATAAAAATATTATTAAACCCGTTGCAAACTTTTTGGCACCAGTAGCGAAAACGGCAGGAACTATCATAGGTGGAGTATTAGGTACTAAAGCAGGTAATCCGGCAATGGGAGCACAAGCAGGTAACGCAATTGGTGGAATTGCTGAAGGAATACTTAATAAAATAGGAGGTAGATAGTGGAAAAATAAATCAATATTATTTTTATCTTAGTATCGGTTGAAGTCTTTGATAAACTTTTTCTCCTTTATTTAATATTTCTCTTATTGGGGCAGCTTTTGGTGTTATTGATTCAGCAACGTCACTAATTGCTTCTTTATTCTTAAATATCCAATTTGCCCCCTTCTTCAATGTTTCCCAAACTTTATGCGCTCCTCTTTTTACTTTATCCCATAATTTTTTAAAGAATCCTGCAGCCATAGTTGATTATTTCATTAAAATTAAAAATTCATTTTCATCTTTTAATTTTGATTTTTTATTTATTAATAAATGACGACTAACTATTTGGTGCCAAACACTAAACCAATTAATGGAAATGTGTTTCATTCATTCGAAAAGATAAATGAAATATTCGCAAAGAATGACGGTAGAAGATATTATAGAGAACTTGAAAGTTCATGCTATGACTCTGATGCTCCATATTTTGATGATAAACAAACTCATTTAAGAATTACAAATCCGGCTCATGATGTGAATCAATTAGGTGACACATATATTAAACGCAAAGTTAAAGTAACTCTAGTTTCAAATAAAGCTTTCACATGCGATGCCGCTTTTAAATGCATGCGTTTATTCGTTGGTTACAAATCATCAAATCAAAGCTTTAAACAATTAGAAGTAGAAACTGAAAGAGGTGATGCCGGTTATCTTCAAATGGATTGCGCCCGTGAATCTTTCGCATTTGCAACATATAAACCAAAATCAGAAAGGAAAGTTAAAAAGTTTGTTCATTCGTTATATAATAATGTTCAAAAATATGATAACTCAGTATGTGGTAAATATATTGACCCTTCAGAAGTTTTCAAGAAAGCAAATGAAGAAGTTGATATCACTTTTGATATGATTATTCCGGTAAATGATTTGTTAGCATTTCAGGCGTTCGATGATTATCCTAAATCATTTGGAAATCATTCTTAAATATTATGTTTTCAGGGATACTTTAGTATTTTGTCAGGTTGACCCGTTAAGAGTTGCTGATTTACAAAATTACGTTTATGAAAAGATAACTGATGAAAATTATGAAAAGATTATGAATCATGTTTATAAATATGATCGCAAATTCCAACAAATCGGACTTCCTGCCAAATTAATTACAAGCTTAGCCGCTACATCTGCTGACGCAACAGTTGATAACGTTATTATTTCATGCACAAAGATGGAAGTTTTAGAGGATAAATGCATTACACCAGGATACGGTTTAATTGAAGAATCAGTTAAAGCAATACCACGTTTATTCAGTAAGGAAGATCCATTCATGATTCCAGCTCAACATATTGACGTTCGTTCACTAAATGGAGGTTGCATCACTCCTGAAGGTATTAGCTCAGATTTCTCATACGCTCTTCATAATGTTACAGATGTTGTGTTAACATTTCCGAAGAATGCAATGCAAAGAACAGTTTTAGAAAATCCAATGCTTCGAGGTCTTCAGGTCACTATAGATTCCAGAAACTTCCCCGATCAAGCGATGACCACAGTGGGCGACATATTCTTTACACGTATGCTTCAAGCTTCTGATTTAGATGGAGTGAATGAATGCACAGAAGAATATGAGGACTCATTAACTAGACCACTGAATGATGATAATGGCACGCCATTAGCTAGAACATGGAAAGACCAAACTTCATTCTTATGCACTATTCCAGTTCAACGTGATGGAGCAGGTATATTCTTTGATGGATTAGAAACTTTCAATTCACAAGTTACAGTACAAGTGAAAGCATATCCAATCATTCAGGGTGAAAATGACACTTACTGTTCAAAGGTGACAAATCCTCCTCAGGTTTGGTTTACTAGGACTACATATTGGACATGGACACCTGATGAAGGTTTGAAATATCATTCAACAGGTACACCACCACAGTATAGAAGTTCATATGATGAAATATTGATGAATAGAAATGTTTAAAATTATAAATTTATTTTTGATTAAATGGATTTAAATTCATCCACCCCTTATGAAGAATTAGCGGGAGTATATAATACATACGTAGATGATATGATTAATGAAGCATTGAGTGATAATAGAAATGCTCTATCTAAGGAAAAATTAATGAAAATTCCATATTCTGAATGTTACTTAAATTCGATCACTGCAGCAATTGGTAAACAGAATAAAGGTAAAACATTAACAATATTAAAACAAATTATCATTATTGCTAACACTTCCCCCTATTCACATGTGTTAATTTATATCAACCGTTCAGGCTCACCTTCAGATGATACATTTGAATCTTTAAAGCATTTAATCAAAATTCCAATTATTTATTTATCACAAGAAGAAGTAGAAGATTATTTAAAAAACTTTTTAATGTATAAAGAATTATATAATACAATCAAGAAGCAAGGATTAGAGGATAAAATTATTGATAAACAACGGGATGAATTATTTGAAACACTTTCTATTTCAAATTTTGATAAAGAATTTTTGCATTCACTAATTTTTCTAGATGATGCAGTGAAATCAAAACTAATAACTAATGAGAAATCATATTTTAATCAATTATTAACTCAATGTCGACATATTCAATGTTCATTCTTTATGGCTGTTCAATACTTTAAAGCATTAAGCACAAACATTAAATCAAATCTATCAACCTTTTTCATTTTCAGTGGGTTTAGTCGTCAACAGTTGAACGTTATGCTTTATCAAGTGAATTTACCAATGAGCATTAATGAACTTTACACACAATATCAACAATTAGGAGAACATGGAAAAATAATAGTTGATTTAAATAAAGGTTCCATTAAATTCGAATAACTTTTTTATAATTAATTTTTATTTTTTATTTATAATTAAACATGACAGAAATTGCAAATCTTCTACAGGTTCCATTAAAACAAGGGACAAACAAAAAGGGTGCATATAATAGAACTATGAAAGTTCCAGATGGAATGAAAGAATTAGTCCACATTGTTGCCGGTCTTCAAAAGGATGTTAAACAAATGAGAAACGTTTAACATTACCAGAAGCTCAAGCATATGCCAAACGTCATGGACCAAATTGGGAAGCACATGAAGCAGACATTACAGGACCAAATGGAAAGCCTGATGGAATAAATGAAGTCTTTGTTACTGATGGTCAAGGAAATATTAAAGTCATAAATGGGTATAAATTAACAATGACGGATTATCCTAAACGTAAAGCATATAATGAACGTTATCCTATGCAATTTGATGAAAATGGAAAAGCTGTTAAACAACATATCGAGACAGTAAAGATGGACCAATTCTTTCATACCGTCATAATCCATATTCTTATTTCAATGAAGAATTAAACGCTATTGAAGAAGGACCAAACGGATTACCTCAATATGTTAATCAGTTTGATGGTCAATATGCAAATTTGAGACCTGAAATTCCAGCTAAGAAATTCTTTAAAGTTGCTTTATTCGATCCAGTGTTCAATGAACAGAAAGAAGCAATGAAAGCAGAATTTAAACCAATTCAAGTGGCAAGAATTTCTTCATCTTCACTTTCAGAAGCGTTCAAGGAATGATAAAGAAACCACTTTATTCTCAACAAGGTTATAACTTTGATTTAATTAAAGAAAGTGATAGACGTAAATTAGAAAAATCAGATGGTTTTAAGAATGCATGTAATGAAATGATTAAAGATATTGTAAATGATAAAATAAGACTGGAAGAAACTCAAAGCATTATCAATAACATAATTGGTGCAGTTACAAAGAAAGTATAAGCAAACAAGGACGAACCTTGGGATATTACCGTAACAACTAAATAAAACTTTAAATATATTTTTCTTTTTTTATTCAATTATAAATGAGAAGACGTTTCACAAGTCAAAAGAACACAAACGCAAAAGCAGAGATTACGGTTGGTTATAACGTAAATGATGATAAATCACGAATTATTCAAAATGTTAAAGTTAATGTTAGTCCTGAATTAACAAGGTCAGCAACACAGTCCAATTTATTAACTCGTGACTTACCGAAGAAAGAGGAGGAGCAAAATAAAGAAGATGAAGACCCAATCATTTTATCTGAACCCGGTAAAGAACCTGTTGAAATTCCCACTTATCCAACATACCCCCCACCTCTTTCATCAAACATCGAGAACCCAGGAATCTACGATTCCAGTCGCAATGCGCCATATAAAATAGACATTAATTCAGAATTAATGAAAATTTACCGTGATATAATAATTAATAATTATGATTCAATAATAAATTTAATTGACCAATCCGGTTTAATTATTTTACCTTATGAATCATTAATTCACATTATCGCCATTCTTTGTGATGTTCAAGATTCAGACTTAAGATTCAATTTTTCATAGATGATGAGGTTTCATGCTGCGGAACAGTTGCAAAAATAAATCCTATAAAGGATATTAGCACAATTAAGATATCAAAGAACGGAACAACAACTGAACTTCATTTAACATATAATGATATTTATAATAAAATAGTTGATGAATATAAAATATCACTTGAAAAATTCTTTGTTAAGGCTATTTAATATTCAAGCATTAACATTATCGAATAATAATCCTTTGAATCATAATCAATAATAATTGACCTTTCACCGGTTTCTATCGTTGTTTTATTTCTTTTTGTTCCCCACTATCTGGATCGGTCATTGTAATTGTTTTTGTTATAGTATCAGCTTTATCTTTAACTTCAATCTTTTTTCCATCGGGATATTTAAACCAAAATTCCAAAAATTCGATATTGTCAATCTGTTCATATTTTAATCTATCAATTACATTTTAATACCATCTGAAAATCTTATGAAATGGTCATTATATGGGTTTGATTGAACTAAATTTGAATGAAGTGAAATATAACCTGTTGATGAATATGACATTGACTCATATTTTCTGAAAACACTAAAATTTATAACATGAATGAATTTCTTATTCGTTGAATTTATGAATTCTTGAGGTAATCTTATTCTAGTTTTATTTATCACTGGAAAATAACGCTTTACCATATTTTTATTCGTAATAAAAATGTCAATTATCAATATTATTTCGAATAATAACTGTGAATTAAATTTAACAGTTAGCGAATTATAATGTTACTCTCGTTTCTGTGAGTGGTAAATTTAATCCCATTCTTTTAGACCCTTCAGATTATATATCATTTTAAAGATGACCATGAAAAAACGTATGATATGTATATAAATAATGTGATAGCGAAATGGGATATTAACATGATTTTAAGTTATTTAAATGAATCATTTATCGGTATGGTATGAAGAAAATTTTAAATCAAAACCTGATAAACTTTTTTGAACTTGAGAAATAACCTTATTAAATTTCCGCTGAAAATTAAATTTGTACTCCTCATCTTCGTTCATTGTTGGGGATATTAAATTTTGAAAAAGATGTTGGGGATGTTTTGTATTCTGACACGGTTCCAATTTCATTTTAATCAAATGTGATAAAGTTAATACCCCAATGAGATTTTCACATCAAACATTAGACCCTAACTCTTACCCATCAATACAAAACATTTTATCCATCAACTTAAACACATTTTCTTTATCATATCCGTTTCAATTATCCGGGAATTCATTTATTCTTCATTCAAAAGATTTATCAAATATTAAATTTAGAGTAACTGACCTATTTGATTGTGATTTAGAATTCATGAATGAAATATTATGGCAATTTCAAATAGAAAAAATAGTGATGAGATAACAGATTAAATATTTATTTTTAAATCATAATAAATGATTAAACAACAGCAACCACAACAACTTAAGGCACAAAGCACCCAGGTCCCTCAGACCATTACATACGCCATATATGCATATAATTCAAAGACGGCAGAACAAACGCAAAGGTTGAAATATGGAGATTTGGAGATAGTATTGAAAAATGACCATTTCGAATTCGTTTGCAAGGTGGTGCAGTGATATCAAATATAAAAGAAATTTTATTTATGAATTCAAAAATTAAAGGTATAACGGATGATATAACATCAATTCCACCAGAAGAACAAGATATTACGCATTAAATGCATTTCCTAAAGTTTTGAAGATTGGAAGATTTAATTTAAATGAGGAATTCATAAAAGGTTTCCTAAATGACATAATGAAGAAAGCAGATAAGGAATATGTGGATGAAAAAGATAAAGAAATTAAAGAAATGGTTGAATGGTATCATGAATGGACATCGAAGATTTTTAAAACTAAAGCTGATACAGGATGGGTTTCAGGATGTTTAGACCTTAAAGCGGATAAAACATATGTTAACGATGAGTTAGAGAAGAAAGCGGATAAGGAATATGTTAACGATGAGTTAGAGAAGAAGGTGGATAAAACATATGTTAACGAAATATACCAAAGTTTGATAGGAACAACGAAAAATATTGAAACTATTGTTGGTGACTTTTCTGCCAATGAAGAAAATAAATATTTTAGATGGCAGTTTGTACAGTCCTTAAAAATGGTACACGGTGTAAACTCATTCCGAAAAATAACAATGAAATGTATGTAAGTTATAAAAAGAATGATGGCACACAAGTTAAAGTTCCATTAGACAACAACTGTTACTTAAACTTATATGGAGACGAACAAAAGAAATATTTAAGAGTTTATGAAATGGCGGGTATGATGTTGGCTGACCCAGCTCCAGCACCATATTATTATGACTATGGAGATGACGACAGAACACCACATGTAGATGAACAAAAGCTAACATTATATTTAGATTATTATAGATATAAAAGATATAATGCAATAGAAAAAACGAGAATAGTATATTATTATACAGATGACAGAAATAAATATTATAGTCAAGATTTTACCTACCCTGAAAACATAAGATTATATTATAAAAAATATTCTGACACAAACCAGAAGAAACCTGAAATAGTTACACTATATTTTAAGTTCAAAAGAGACAATCCTATAATATCTCATATGTTTGATTTAATGAACCCAGTAGGTTCTATTTATACATCTATGGATGCAAGAGGTCCTCAAGTAATGTTTGGTGTTGGTGCATGGGAACAAATAGTTGACAGGTTTTTGTATTGTGCAAACTCTTCAAAGGAAACAGGGGGAAGTAAAACGATTTCAGGTGAAAATTTACCTGCACACAGTCACTACATAGATTTAAGTACATCTCAAGCAGGTTGGCATAAGCATAGATATTGGGATTGGTCAGGAATGACAAAAGGTAAAGGATATGATGTTAAAGACGACGTTAAGTTTGCCATAAATTGTTACTGGAGTGACACTCAGGGAGAAGGAAACCATACACATCACGTTTCAGGATATACACAAACAACGGGACAAAGTAAAGAATACATGCCACCTTACATGACAGTTTACGCATGGTATAGAGTTCAATGAATGAACTAAATATATTTTATGTCTGTAATTAATTAGGTAATGAAGTAATGGATGAACTGCAGAAATAAATGTTTACGTTAATGTTTACGTTAAGTGACTCAAAGAGTCCGGAGACAAAGTCTCATGTTTTAGGTTATTCAATAATTAATTATTTTTGAAGAACTGAAGGTGTCACCACGTCACCATGTCACCAGGTTAATTAACTTCTCTGAAAAAATGAGACAACATGACATTTTGACAACATCACAGGAGGAAGGCAGTTATGAATTATTTTTGAAGAACTGAAGGTGTCACCACGTCACCATGTCACCAGGTTAATTAACTTCTCTGAAAAAATGAGACAACATGACATTTTGACAACATCACAGGAGGAAGGCAAAAATAAATTCCAATCATACTTTATACTGCCTCATTTACAGGTATTTCATCGTCAGTAAATGAATCCTCATTATCGTTTGGTTCAACCTGTTTATATAATCCTTTCATTTCTTCTTTCAAAACATAACACCATGTTTGTTTACCATCTATTCTTCTCTGTTTCCTATCACATTTATCCTTAATGCTCATTTGGAAATTCTTGTCTTTCATGTCTGATGGTTTGCAGAATAGAGCATTTTTACATGTCATACCTGCACTCAATTCATCATAATGTGTATTTATCCATTCATCTAAAGGATTTGTTGATAATTCAATTAAATCTTGTTTGGCTTCAGTCATCGGAATGATTCGTACATTAAATGATGAAAGGTCGTAATTGATAAAATACGTCAGCAAATTATCATAAAATTCCTTAGTGCATGAATTCATCAAATTCTTGAAGTAATTAAATTGACCCTTGAATTTACCATTAACTCTTAAAACTACGTATCTTCTGTCTCCAACTTCAATTTTGACAGGGTAGACGTTATTAGTTACGAAAATGAAGTTTGCAACGTTCTGGGCAGTTCTTCTGGGTTGATTCTTTTCATTAATTCTTATTTGATTATCCGTTATAATTGATTTCAAAGCGTTGAAGTTTGCGAGTCTATCTTCACCTACATTCTTGAGTTCATTAAGTACAAGAAACATTTTATTCTCAACTACTGAGTTGAAATTACCCGTTAGCTCACTTATTTCAGTAATGATTTTACATGAATAACCAGCGAGAAGTTCAGAAATAATGTCTGTGAATCTGTTTTTACCTGTTCCCTGAAGTCCTTTCAAAATAATTGCTGTTTCATTCTTGATTCCAGGATGTTGAATCATTGATGCAATCCAGCCGAGAAGGTATTTATACACTTCATCGTTATTATCACAAATGGCTTCTTTAATGAAATCCATAAACATCTCAATTTTTGAGTAATCAGGCTTTTCAAGAATGTTGTATTTATAACCCTGAAACGTTGAGAAAACATCTGGGGAATCAGATTTAAAGCAAACACCCTTAACGGTTAATGAGGATAATTGATTTAGTAGTACATCCCATGCTGTTATGGTTTTACCTTCTTCTTTAAATAATTTAATCATTTTGAGTGACTCTTTCATGTTTGATTGAAGAACGAATGATATTTGATTCATTTTGTCGTGGATATTATAGTCCTTTTGAATGAAATATTTATTTCCACAATCTACAAAACGGATTACACGTGATAAATCCTCAATTACTTCAGAACTGTTTTTATACTGATGATTTTCAGCCTTGCGTCTAATATCTGTTATCAAAAACGAGTCATCAAGTTTTATATCAAATGTTATTTTTGGCTTACGTAATAAAGGTAAAACATATTCATCATAATATTCCTTTTGATAAAGTTTTAGAATCTTCACCAAACAAATGGAGAAGTCATTAAATGTGCATATCTACTACGTGCTTTTTCAAAATTACTTTTTGCATTTTCAGTTAAATTGCAGAAATTATAAACGTTATCGTATGCTTCATTAATTAAATGATTAGGTAACGAATTAATTGCTTGAAACAGTGTGAATAATGTAACTTCTTTTTCTAAATTCATGTTTCCACCATCATTATGTACTTCAAAATCACTAATGCCATCAACTATGCTCTGGGCAAGTTTATCGTCAATGTTTACATCTTTGTTTTCATTCATGATAGTCTTTATTTCTTCGTTCTTCTGTTCAACTCTTACCTTAATATTCAAATCATTTAATATATCATTTACTGTTCTAGTTAATGTTGAATCATAACTTCCACGAATGAATGAGTATGTATTGATTGGTTCTGTTGCATTCTTGCGAACTCTTGAATCAGCCATAACTACTAAAGAACGCTTTGATTCATCCATAGAAGTCATGATATCGATATCATAATCATTGCAGGAATAACATTTAATCATTCTGTTCGAAACTGCATAGAAGAAATTAGTGTTGCAATAAATGTGAAGACCTCCTGAAGCGGTTTTAACGATAACATCTTTATCCGAAATTTTGATAAAATATCTTTTCTAACTGTTTCTTTAAGTTCATCATTGTATGATTTATTGATATCAACATCTATAATCGTTAAATTTGAAATTTTATTTACTAATAAAGCCACACCAGTTTTCCTTCCTCTTCCTCCATCATGTTTGAGGTAGTTATGTAAATCAATCTTGTTTTCACCAATTCTTTCGTTGAGGGTTTTAGTTTCTGCCACAACTAATTCCTCAGCTAATGAATCAATAACTTTTTCATCAGAAACGATATAGTTGTTGTTGTTGTTGTTTGTTGCTGTCATTTATATAGGAATAAAAAAATAAAAATAATTTTAAAACTAACTTTATTTTTGGACTGCATCATATTTCCAGGATTGTTGTCAAAATGTCATGTTGTCTCATTTTTTCAGAGAAGTTAATTAACCTGGTGACATGGTGACATGGTGACATGGTGACACCTTCAGTTCTTCAAAAATAATTCATAACTGCCTTCCTCCTGTGATGTTGTCAAAATGTCATGTTGTCTCATTTTTTCAGAGAAGTTAATTAACCTGGTGACATGGTGACGTGGTGACACCTTCAGTTCTTCAAAAATAATTAATTATTGAATAACCTAAAACCATTAACGATAAAATAAGTGATAACAAATTTTTATTTTTATCATAAATGGATACCCCACAAGCTCAAAATTTACCACGAATCATAACAAGGGAGGAAACGATAAAAATGATGCGAGAACTTGCTAAAAATAACAAACCACTAAAACTGAGAAAATGTGGTTATGCAGTAATGATGGAAAGAGAGACGTTGTCGAAGAGGAATAAAAATTAAATTTGGATTGAGTTTAAAAATTCATCTTTATTAAATTCATCTCTTCCAATCAATTTATTTATTCTATTAAATTCTTTTATTTTTGCTTCACTCAGTTTAAGGATTGAACGGTAAGTTTCTAATTTTTCGATTATTTCTTTCCTCTCTTTATCGTTTTCAACCCCACCGCATTGCGGCTTCTTTTTGTAATAGCATATTTTTGATTTAATTCTGTTTAGTTTCTTTTTATATTCATCGTCTGGACTCTTGACTGCTTTGTTGTCACTCATTTCTTACGAAATAAAAAAAATTAAATATTATTTAAATATAATGGAGTAATAAAATAAATCGGAATTTCTATTAATTTATTGTCAACTTCAACTAATACATTACCGTTAATATATCTAACAAATTCAGCTATTGTGTCAAATCTTCGTCTTCTTTTTGTCATTGATTTATCAGTTTTTCCATAATCGAGATGAATTAAAACTTTATTTCCTTGTTTAAAATTCATGAGCCCCGAATTAATTTGTTCACGTTTAACATTAGTCATGTGATTTTATCCCAAGCATATGGGGATTCTAAATTTTTGTCCCTATCGTTATCCCAATTGATTTTTTTTTTGGAATTTAAAAATTTTTTTTCTCCATGTAAACTTAAATTTTAATTTTTACCACTAAAATGCAATATTTCAACAAATTAATGAGTAATAATATTTTAATTTATAATAAATATTATAAATCTCCTCAATTTAATGTAATTATTGTATTAATTTTTGTTGAAAATATAAAATCTTCAAGTAAATGATGTGAATTTAATATTTTTAGAATGTTGTTTAATTGTACTTTATTATGCATGTAAAATTTTGTTACAATACATTTTATATGGGATCCCCATTGCCCAATTGAGAGAAAATTGAGAGGTGGGATTGGGCTAGCCCAATTCAAAATATCCCAGGTGGAAATAAAAAAATTAACAATTCAACATAAAAAAGCATCTTAAATAATAATGATAAAAAGAAATTTTGTATGAATTTCAATCAAATTTGTTTTTATTCAACTTAAGAAATCACTTCATTAATGAAAGAAGTCGGGTTCACAACATATCCCGATCTTGAAACGAAACAACATGTTTTTTTGATGCCCTAAACGGGGGGGGTCGCCAGCAAAAAAAAAGATGTCAAAATTTATCCCAAAAATTTAAAAAAAATCGAAGAAAGTGCATCCCAGGGATTATAAAATTTAAGTTTTCACA